CTGTGTATGCAAGGCCTGCTAAGGTTAAGAGCCGCAGGATTTCATCTGCTATACATAGACTGGCAAATGATTTTGGTTTGAGCACTGCAGAACTGTTTGCACAGGTTAGATTTTCTGTTCCACACTCATGTCAGTTTAACTCTTTACGCCATGCTTTTCGGCCAGGTTTCATGGACTCTATGTGCACTTCATCTCAGGCTACATCCCATACAACTGTGTGTAGTGTTGTCTCACATTCAGGTTGTCCAGACGCTGCTTGTGTGAGTTCTCCTGTACCTGTGGCTGCCCCTAGACTCACTCATTCTAAAACTGCTAATTATGACATGGACAACTTAAGTACAGCAGAGCTGCTAGAACCAGCCCACCATGAGTCGCAGTTTGCTGACACTGTGTTTGGCTCCAACTTAGTTCACCCAGTGACTGTTCCTGTTCCTGTGCTTCGCTCTCCAACTCCAGTTCCTGTAACCAGGGCAGCGCGGGCCCAGCTTTCCCTTGCTCCCGTATCAGTTCCTCGGGAGAAGGTGGCTGAGGTCCAGCTGGTCCCTGCTTCTGTCCCCAGCCTGGCAGGGGCTCCGTTCATCCCAGCACCCGTACCTGCTCCTTTCTCCGCCAGCTGAGGACTGCGCGGTGCTGACAAACTTTGGACAGACTGTTTGCCCTGCACAGCCCCAGCCGTTGCATCCTAAGCCGGCTGCGTGCCCTGTGCCGCTACAGTTAGCGTCCGCTGTGCCAGAGGTCCCCGCACCTGCTGGCTCTGCATCCGTTTCCGCTGGGGGTTCAGGAGAACCTCTCCAGCACCCTGTCTCCGCTGGAGGGTCCGAGGGGCCCGTTCAGCCTCCTGTCTCCGCTGGAGGGTCCGAGGGGCCCGTTCAGCCTCCTGTCTCCGCTGGAGGGTCCGAGGAGCCCATCCAGCCACCGTCTGCTGCAGCTCCAGCCTGTGCTTCGTCTGCTGCAGCCTCAGAGCCTTCGTCTGCTGCAGCCTCAGATGCTTCGTCTGCTGCAGCCTCAGAGCCTTCGTCTGCTGCAGCCTCAGAGCCTTCGTCTGCTGCAGCCTCAGAGCCTTCGTCTGCTGCAGCCTCAGAGCCTTCGTCTGCTGCAGCCTCAGAGTCTTCGTCTGCTGCAGCTCCAGCCTCCGAGTCTTCGTCTGCTGCAGCTCCAGCCTCCGAGTCTTCGTCTGCTGCAGCTCCAGCCTCCGAGTCTTCGTCTGCTGCAGCTCCAGCCTCCGAGTCTTCGTCTGCTGCCCAGCCTCCGAGTCTTCGTCTGGCCCAGCCTCCGAGTCTTCGTCTGGCCCAGCCTCCGAGTCTTCGTCTGGCCCAGCCTCCGAGTCTTCGTCTGGCCCAGCCTCCGAGTCTTCGTCTGGAGCCTCCGAGTCTTCGTCTGGCCCAGCCTCCGAGTCCTCGTCTGGCCCAGCCTCCGAGTTTGTCCTCGTCTGGTCCTGCCTCGTCTGGTCCTGCCTCGTCTGGTCCTGCCTCGACTGGTCCTGTGCCCACCAGGCCATGGCCAGCACGCCTGAGACTGGAGAGCCGCTGCTGCCTTCCGCGCGGTCGGCCCCCTGAACTGCTCCGTCTCCTTCGCCGCCGCCGCTGCCTTCCGCGCGGCCGGCCTCCTGAACTGCTCCGTCTCCTTCGCCGCCGCCGCTGCCTTCCGCACGGCCGGCCTCCGGACCAGCTCTGCCACCTGTGCCACCCGCCTGGTCGGCCCCCCGACCGTGTGACCCGTGAACTCTTGTGCCTGTGGGCTCTGGGTCGGCCCCCTGAACCTTATTTGGACTACGGTCATGTGCTCCTGTGTTTTCTGTTGTTTGTTTTGTTTCCCGTTCTGGTCCCTCCGTCCTGGTCCCCCGCCTCCCGCCCTGGGTGGGTTGTTTTCTGTTTTAGTTTTATTTCTCGGGTTTGGGCTGTCGGGAGCCAGCCCTTTAGGGGGGGGTGATGTCATGGTCCTGGGCCATGTGGGCCCAGTAGTCTTAGTTTTCATGTATGTTTGTATTTTGTTCTTTATTTAGGCCATGCTTCCTGGGTTGATCTGTTACGTTGTTCCTTATGTGTTTTCCCGTTGTGACTCTCACCCCCTGTGTGCCCCTCTGTGTATTCATGAGCCCTCGTCCCCTTTCGTGTTTATTCCGTGTCTCCCCTGCCCGTTATGTTGGTGTTCTACTCGTGCTCTCTCTCCTCCTGTCTGAACCTCTGTACTTCCTGTTTCACCTCGCCCGTCTCCCGTCAGTGTTGTGTTCACTCCTGCCATGTCTCGTGATTATTATCAGTGTCACCTGTGTTCCCCGTGTGCTCCCATTTCCCTCGTTAACCCTCTGTGTATTTATGTCTGCGTCTCCCTCAGTTCTGTGTCGCGTTCTCCCTCATGCTGTGTGGATTTCCCTGTTTCTCTCTCCTTGTGCTTTAGTTTTCCCAGTTTAGTTTATTTTGTATTGTTTCTCGTGGCCAGCAATAAAGCTGTGTTTTTTGAGTTCATCCCCGTGTGTGTGAGTTTTGCGATTGGGTCCTCAGCCTGCCTGCCACACAGCGAATCATGACAGTTGTTACATTACAGCAATATTGAGGAAAGATTTAACGGTTGATCATGGAGCTGAATGAAGGTCAAAGGGAAAGTCCCTGCCACGCTTCCGGTTATGCTTCCATCTGGCGTAGTCATCCAGCCATTCGTGCTATATCGCCCCTCCTCACCCGGAGTGGTATAACGTGTTGTAGAAAAGTTTGATTGATTCGCTCTCGCTCTCTCTCTCTTACAAAAATAATAAATTCTCTGGGTTTTTTTCTTATACACTTATGGTACCCGATGAAGGAAGCATCCCGATCTCTCGGAGGTAATTGACCGGGATGAACCGACGGTCGTCTGATT